TTCACTTGATATTTGTATACTTGATTAGGACTTCTTATTAGGAATAGACCCGAAAGGGTAAGCTTAAATACGGAACAGAATTTCCACTCAAGCACACAGAGCGACGTCCGGCTTCAAGGTAAGCGTCAGGTCAAGCTTGTTTGAGTGTGTTATGCCTGTCGGTGAACTCGAAGCTCTGTAGCGAGGGTTCATCCGGAAAGGCCAAGAGACTTTGTGTATTGGCCGATTATTATCGGGAGGTTTTACGTGACGGCTTATTGTTGCCTATTTGCACGACCGGGAGTGCTTGAATTGCCTCCCTTTTATTTTTTCTAGCCGAGTGTTGAACACTCGGTGATCTCGTAAAAGGCTTACCCGTGCCTGGTACCCTTCCGCTGTTGGGACCACGAGGATTCAAAACACCTGCTAGCTTTGCTCGTGCTAGTAGCGTGTTCTTATTTTTACTGGTTGGCCTATATAAGTAGTTTACAAGGTCCAGTTTGTCCCGGTGCAAGGGCAGAACTGGGGTCTTCAGGTCCGCCCGAACGATCGTTTACTATCCTAGTAGACGTATTGTTGTGGGAACATCCTAACTACATTTGTAGCTAGAGTTCACGTGGGAATTCCAACACCACAGTCGCTTGAAGCGACGTCGATCGGAACGAAGTTCGGATCCGACTTGAGGCGGCGGCGGCGTCTTTGCCGACGGCGTCTGTGACGGGGAGCTTTGCTGCCCATGTCTAGGGATGTCGTCGCTACGACATCCGAGGCACTCGTGGCCTCGTGTGGTACTGTTGTACCCACACAGGAAGCGTGTTCAACGCCTTCCTCTTCAGTTAAGGTCTGGGCGACCGCGTGTGGCACTGTGTTACCCACACAGGAAGCGTGTTCGACGCCTTCCTCTTCAGTTATGGTCTGGGCGACCGTGAGTGGAACTCTGTTACCCACTCTGAACACGCTGTTCTCAGTGTTCGTGGCAGCTGCAGCTGATTGCGGAACTAAGTTACCCGCCTGTGGACCTAAGTTACCCACTTGGCCAGCGTCTCTTCTGGGCGCGGCCACCATGAAAAAATCCTCGGAGTTGTCATATACGTCGACGACTCCCAAGCATCTGCCGGATGCTTTGGTACCCTGGCAGCCCTCGCGGGCGCCCCGGGTCCTGACAGAGGTGGGAACATGACTCACCAATGCTCTGTCGGACTGCGCAGGGCGGCTGGCGCCAATTGCCTTGCCTCGCCAGTCGATCCAGGGCTCGTGCTTCTCAAGCCAGGGCATGCCCAGGATCATATCATATGGATCCATATCGAGAACAGTGAACTGTTCGAGGCTGTCAAAGTCTTCAAACTTGACGGCCAGATCCACTTGGACGTTGGGGACAGTGACGACCTTCCCGTCGGCCAGTCGTACTGACACCGTCCCGTTGCCCTTGCTTTCTCTCAAAGCATCGGACAGCTTGTTGCTGTTGCGGGCAATCGTCTGGCGGCGTGCGAAATTCTTCGACGCCCAGGATCGATTAAGATTCTAAAGGGATGATCGTATCCCCGTACACATCCGTGTACTACGAGCAACCCGCCGCTGATCTTCGCCGATTCGAGAGTGCGAAGACTCTCAGGGGCTAAGTCCCCGTGGCACGCGCCACCCGCGCACCCATCACGAAGACTTAGTTTTTCCCCAGTGGGGCGCCCCGCCCATACTGGTTCCCGGCGTTCCCCTGTCCTCGGGATCCTGGCTTCTGCCAGCGATTCTTGAGAACGGGCTTGGGGAAGGACCGTCTGCGGAGTCTTTCCGCGGGACAGTCGCGCTTGAAGTGGCCCATCTTCCCACAGCCGAAGCAGCGGATGTCACGCTGTTCGGCGGACCCGAGTTCCATGGGAACTGGTCCGTTGGGGCTTGTTCGACCGGGGGCCGACATAGAACTCCCAGGCCATGCTGAGGCCGGCGTACGCGCCTGGCGATGGCTGTACGCTTCCTGAAGAGCCACTTGAATCGCCTCTTCAAGGGTGCTTGACTGCACCCGGAACAGCTGAGTGCGTGCGGGACCCACTCGAAGGCCGTCCATGAACACAGTCATCTTGATGTGTTCGTTGAGTGGGTTTCCCACTAGGGACGCCGTGAGCTCCCGTATCTCTTGCACATACTCGTGCAGTTCGCGCCTTCCTTGTTTACACGCGAGGAAGCGCGAACGCTGGCAGTACTCGTAGTTCGCCGGGAGGAATGCGGCTCGGAGCTGTTCGCACAGCTGAGCCCAGGATGTGAAACATCCAGGGGATGTTGCTTCCCGTGTGTACAACCAACTCTTAGCACGGCCGCTAAGGTTGGAGAATGCAAAAGCAACACGCAGTTGCTCGGTCGAGATCAGAGCCGCGTCCATCGCGAGCTCTACTTCTCGGACCCAGAAGTGAAGGTTCTCGCCTTCCTTCCCTTCATACGGCTTAACCTTCAGCCGTATTGGCTTCGGGTGAGGCGGATTTGCTTCCGCTGCCGGAGCCTGCAGGTTCTCCCGCACATGCGCGATGAGGCCCTGCTCGTACGCGTCGAATGCATTGACGCGCTCGAGCTGCTCAGCCGGTGTTGATACCACCAGGCTCTGCAGGGCCTCCATCCCGAAGATGCCTGCCATCTTCCGAACCGACTCGAACTGAGAGTCGTTCATATGGGAAAAGTCGTTCCTATCCATGGCAACGAACTTCGGAGAGGTTCAGGTAGTCTACCCGCGGTGGCGTGGTTTGACTACTAGTGCTACCAAGTGTGACGGGGTCACACAGCACCTTGCGCTAGAGGAAGTTATCTTCCGAGAGTATACAAACTCTCAGTGAACGGCAGTTCACAGGTCCCCTCTTTAATTAAAGAGAGCGAAGTGACCTAAATAAGGTAGATTGTAAACTGAGTATATTTATAGGTAGGTTTCAGGATGTCCCTTGGCAGCATACGCTTGCTGATCAAGTGGGCAAACCTCACACGAAGATCACGCTGGTTCAGGATGCGGGACAGCAGCTGATCTTCATGGAGTTCCCGTAACTCCGTGGGTGAGTACTTAAGAGTCTCCACCCACGCCCAGAGCATGTCCTCACAAGAACTCCACGTGGGACAGTTCTCGGGCATAACCCAGGGGTATAGAGACCACCCCGGGTCTCGAGCTTCTTACGACAAGTCGTGAAGTCCTTAAGGGGAATGCGGTGTGGCGCGAGAAGCACACACCGAGCAGCCTCCAAGTTGTCGACGAACAACTGTTCTTTCTGAACAAGGGCTCGTTCATAGATGCCCCTAGAAGTGTGGCCGCCAACAAGGCCACGAGGAGCGACGAGAAGCTCTAAGAAGAGGTCAGCCCCAGAGCTCTCCTCGGGAGGCCAGTACCCTCTTGAGTTGATGGCAGCTCCCTGGCTGACGGGTGCCGCCTCCAACCCCCCACGCACACGCTGGGCAGCTTGGAAATCCTCCTGCTGCTGGTCGAGGTCATTCGAGACCTCCCGGGGCTCAACGATAGCACCCTCCTCTTCCTCTTCTTCCTCCTTCTCCTCCTCTTCATCCGAGGAGTCGAAGATACTCCGATAGGAGCGACGAGTCTCCTTCTCCTCGCGGAGTGGAGACTTAGAGTCTGTACGCTTCTTTGAGGGCTTTGCGCCTTCGGCTTTAGAGGCCTTAGCACGCGCAAGACCCTCGGCAAGCGAGAGACGTTTGCAAGGATTCTCTTCCTCATCGCCACCGGCTTTGGGAGCGCCCTTAGCCTTGACATCCGGACTCTCAGAGCGCACAGAGGTCCTGGGACTGTGATCACCTTGATCACTAGCGAGCGACTGCACGCTGTCATCTTTGTGCTCACTGGGCACTGGGCTGTGCCCTCCTACAGAGTCCGCAGGAGCATCGTGAGTGCTCTCGGACTCGGCATCGTCCTCACTGCCCGAGTTGAACTCATGTTCCACGAAACGAGGGTTCGGACGACTGTCTGAAGATGAGGGCGACGGGCTGCGGCGCTTGCTTGCGCGCTTGTCCACATCCGCGTCACTTGAGGAACCGATCGCCTCGGAGGCCACCTGAGTAGCCTCCTTGAGTGCAGAGCCTTTGCCGTGAGGCTTAGAGCTCTTGGCTTGCGCCTTGCAGACAGCAGCCTTGGAGCGTGTCTTAGCACCGCTCTTTGCAGTGCCACGAGGCATGATAACGGTCGAAGTGGAGACCTAGACGAAGAGCGCACAGGTTGCTGCTCGAGGCTCTAACTGTGAAGTGAGCCTCCGCCGCGCTCGCGCTCGCGCGGCCAAGTCGATGGTTTTCGACTTTGAGAATGAGAGTTTGTGACGAGCACCTCTTTATTCTGATTGGTCGGTAAACCGAATCTAAGTGGTGGAGGATGTAACGGGGTACGTAGCCCTAAGTGTACCCTGGTTACATGAAGTGTGACACTTCACACTTCAGGAGTATGACACGTCATACTCCGGGATATTTGGTACAAGGTACCAAGGTCGATCAAAGCCAACCATTGGTTAAATTGACATTGCAGGTTACTAATAGTTTGTATTAAACCCAAACTTAACCTACCTATAAATATACTCAGTTTACAATCTACCTTATTTAGGTCACTTCGCTCTCTTTAATTAAAGAGGGGACCTGTGAACTGCTGTTCACTGAGAGTTTGTATACTCTCGGAAGATAACTTCCTCTAGCGCAAGGTGCTGTGTGACCCCGTCACAGCAGGCGAGTACGTCTATCTCATGTCGGCTGCGAGTACTGCACGTCTAAGAGATCTTCTGTTGAGGCTACCAGCGGGAGTGCTTGGTTAGGAGCCGCTACACGTCACTTACGTAAGCATGGCCGTGTCCACTGATGCACGCTCATAGTGTTATCCCCTCCACATTCTACTTTCTTGTATTGCGTAAAATGACCTGTGAGTATGTGTTTTATTACAATGTTATCCCTCCGTGTCAACTACGCTTTAACGAGATTTAGCGTTATCTCTTGTAACATCCGGATAACATTCGACGTCGACAGCACTAGTCGTAGCTACCCTTAACAAGTAAAAGTTTGTTTTCTTACAGTTGCCAGAGGTAATTTCCTATCTGGAACTGGGTGAGCGACGTGATAACCTCATCCGCTTCGCCGAAAAGCTCCGCCCTCTGTACTTCGTCCGAATGAATGCGTACATCGGGGATGGCAATACTGTGCATACCCGCAGCGTTAGCTGCAGTGTAGCCATTCACCGAGTCCTCGAATACGATGCAATGTGGCGGCTTGTCACCGTCCTCTCCCTCTCTGAGGCCAAAGAGACGTTGGCCAGCGGTGCGGAAAATATCGGGCGCTGGCTTGCCGCGCTTCACAGCCGGGTCGTCACCGCACACGATCGTGGAGAAGAAGGAGAAGAGCTTTGGGTGGTGCTTGATCTTGGCCTCCACGACGCTTCTGCTGTTGGAAGTGGCCAGTGCCAATGGGACGCCTCCTGCGTGTAGAGCACTCAACACCTCGATGCCTCCCGGAAGTTCCTTGACTCGGTCCGACATGTCTCGCATACTCTTCTCCCACTTCTTAAATAGCTCTTCTGGAGTAATGCCAATCTCCTCGCTGAGACCGGCCGCAGTGATGGCCATGCGAGTCCAATCAGCGGGAGGACGTCCTAAAGTGGTCTTGTGCATTGCCATTGTGAACTCCTTGCCAAACTTGCGCATTATGCCGTCAATCACGATCCGACTCAGCTCTTCAGTGTCTAGAAGCGTGCCATCCATATCGAAGATGGCACCGTACACCTTGGGTTTAAGTGGCACAGCGCTGGCGTTAGTCATGACAACGTGGATGTTTCAATGCAACTGCAAATTGCAAAGTGGCACTGATTGAAGTTCTTTTTAGTTGCTTCGGGAAATGTTTACCAAAGTCAAGTGTGTCGTATCGGAATGATTGTTGTGTTTACCATTTTTGCCGACGTCCATCAAAAATGCACGTCGCAGTTATTGCGATAAGCAATTACTCGAGCTCATCGTCGGCAATTTCCTTCTGTCCAGTTTCCTGACCTTTGCCGTTGTAAATGTGATCGGCCATCTGCCAGATCTGTAAGATGTTGTCGTCAGCAACCGAAGACACCACCCACGGCTCGTTCGGATGCCACGAGAAGTCCACAACGCTGGCCGTGTGACCCGCATGAATGAACAGCAGCTCAGGCGGGCCGTCTTTAGCGTCTTCAGCTGCCTGCTCTTCTCCAATCTAAGTAGTGATCAACATGCCACACGTCAAACATCAACACTCCATCGGACAATTTCAATGTCAGAGCACTGAGATACCTTGGTAAGATCCCAAATGAGCACACGACAATCAGCGGAACAGGAACCGAGGACGCCGTCATGGTGTGGAGACCACTGGATCTGGTAGACTTCGTCTGTGTGTCCTTCCAGAGAGTGCAGTTTGGTCTTCAGGTTGCGCAGATCCCACAAGTTAATCTGCTTATCCGACGACCCCGTGGCAACTAAATACTCGTTCGATGGACTAAACGCCAGACAGTTGACTTCAGCCGAGTGAGCAAATACGGTCGCTGCTGGCTTATCGTGGCTCTCCGACCGCAAATCCCAGCTTCATCAATCAAAACGAGATGTTAGAGGCGTTCGCAACGTTGTAATCGCATCCCTGGCAACGTACATGAGCAGCTTCTTGTCATCACCGACCGATCCGATAATCTTTGGGTGATGCCAGTGCCATGCCACGTCCTCGATAACGTCGGTGTGGCCAGTGTATTTGTTCAGGGGCTCCACTGTAGTGCCAGCCTTGCTAATATCCCATTCGCAAATGATGGCGTCGTTGGACCCGGAGATGAGATGATGCGTCTGGTGCGGGTCCCAACAGAGACCAAAGCCTTCCTTGGTGTGGCCCAGCAGTCGATGTGTCGGTTCAATACTTTCTCCAGCATCCGTTTTAATCTTCGAAATGTCGAACACGTGCACCTCAGCACTTGGAGTCTTGGTCGCAACAAAGAGGTTATCCGACGGCATGCAACGCGCTCGATTCACCTCGCCTTCGTGGCTAAAACTAAGCGAGGTCGTCACCTTGCGTTCAATGGCATTGTTGTAGTCACCCAGCTCTGACCGGCCACAATGAACCATGGATTTGGCCAGTTAATCACAATATGCCTACTATAAAGAAACAATTGTTTCTGCTTTACCTTGGGTCTCCTCATTCAACTTACATGCGTCGTCAAGAGGCAACCACACTTTGGCCTTCATTACCTTATTTTGCTCAGCCCCCGACGTGTTTGTGCCCAGCAAAAGTTCATACTCGCAGAAATCTGACGTGTTGTTGGTTCTGTCAAGGCAACAACAGCAGCTTAAGCTCAAGCAAAATCCCATGCAAGCAAATGAACAATGGACGCACGATCCAGACAGCCATTGCACTGTAAGCGACGGCCAATCAAGCGAGTGGGTTATCACGAGGTCGTATAGGAACGGCGTGTTCTTCTTCCACGTCCTGTACTCCTCACTCTCGAGCCTCATATCCGGTTCGGCTTCCTCGCCCTCGACAGCGTCGTCCGCATCGCCGGTGAGGTCCTGCACCTCCTGCATAGGAGAGGGCTCAGTGTGCTCAGCAGCATCCGACATTTCGGCCGAGTTTGGTGAGCGAGGCATGGGATTCAATAATGCTCCAGTAACGGCGTTTCGTTGGCTGATAAAGACCTGACGATCGGCAATTTTCAGTGCATTCGGCGATGCAACTTTTGCATCGATTTCTGTTGCCTTTACGAACACGTGTGCAACAAACTTTTGGTCTAGTACATTCAATTAGACTAACCGCATCATTGCATCAAATAGCATGAGTACTAATCGGCTTATTCGAGGTCATCATCGGCAACCTCCGCCTGTTCAGTTTCCTCATCTTCCTCATTGTAAATGTTCTCCGCCATCTGCCAGATCTGCAGGACGTTGTCCTCAGCCACCGAGGCCACCACCCACGCGTCGTTCGGGTTCCACGAAAAGTCGGAAATCTTGGACGTGTGGCCACCGTGGATAAACAGCAGCTCCGGAGGTCCGTCCTCGGCGTCTTCAGGCGATTGTTCGTCACCAATCTGTTTAGAAATACATTACAATGCATCAATAAATAGTCTCAGTAAATATCTGGCCGCTAAAGCTTACCTTGCTGAGGTCCCAAACGTGCAGTCGGCGGTCAGCAGAGCAGGAGCCTAGGATAGTCTCGTTGTGAGGAGACCATTGGATCTGGTAGACTTCGTCGTTGTGGCCCTCGAACGAGTGCAACTTGGCCTTCATGTTACGCATATCCCACAGGTTCACGTGCTTGTCTGCCGAGCCAGTAGCAACCAGGTACTCGCTGAACGGACTGAAGGCCAAGCAGTTGACCTCAGCAGTGTGCGCATACACAGTCGTCGCCGGCTTGTCGTAGCTCTCCGAGCGCATATCCCAGCTAGAAACAGCAACACACGCATCGACAATTAGCCCAGTTGTCAGCTGACTTATCGTTGCATACAAACTTCAAACTTACATGAGTAGCTTCTTGTCGTCGCCGACAGAGCCGAAGATCTTGGTGTGGTGCATGTGCCAAGCCACATCCTCAATCACATCGCTGTGTCCACTGTACTTGTGCAGCGGTTGCACGGACTTGCCAGCGTTGCGGAGGTCCCACTCGCAGATGATGGCGTCGTCCGAACCGGAAATCAAGTGGTAGGGCTGGTGCGGGTCCCAGCATAGACCGTAGCCCTCCTTCGTGTGGCCCAGAAGACGAAAGTCCGGGTTGCAGCCCGAGTTCTCCTCAGGTTGAGACGGCCGCTTCGAGATGTCGAACACGTGCACCTCCGCATGAGGAGTCTTGGTGGCTACAATCATTTCATCGGACGGCATGTACCGTGCGCGGTTCACTTCGCCGTCGTGGTTGATACGGATCTTAATGTCCACCTTGCCCGAGACGCCGCCAAATCCGCCAAGCTCCTGACTCTCCTCGTCATACTTGCGGGCGTCAATCTCGGTGTCTTCCAGAGGAAGACGCACCTCCGCCACCATCAAATGGTTCTGCTCCGCTCCGGACGTGTGCGTGCCCAGCAGCAGCTTGTGCACCGAGAAATCGTCGCCAGACGAGCTGTAAAAACGTCATACTTTCGTTAATTACTGGTCGCGATACGACGCAAACATTGCAAAATGATTAACATCAATCAGCTACATACGTGTGGGAGTTGGGCAGCCACTGCACACTGAGAGAGGGCCATTCAAGGGCGTGTGTCATCACCAAGTCGTACAGGAACGGCGTGTTCTTCTTCCAGATCTTGTATTCCTCGTTGATGAGCTTTTCCTGGAGAGCAGCATCGTTGGCAGCAACTGCGTCCACTGCTGCGGCGGGAGCTGGTGCTGGCGTGGGCTCGGAGTGCTCGGTAGCGTCGGCCATTTAGAACGAGAATCGAAAATGGCGCTGGTGAGTTTTTGAGGACGTCAATGGACGGATTTCATAGGCTGATATTTAGTTCATTCCTACAGTATTGCATCCTGTTTTCGCGGGTGTGGACAATATAGTACTTGCAAATAAATCATATTTTAGCAGACTAATCTTGAATCATTTACATTCAGGATCATTACATCCGGAAGTTTATTAAAGGTCCCAGGGCACGTAAGTGGGGTGCAGTACTGTAAATACTTCGAAGAAAGTCACTCTTCAGTGAGACTCAGATTCGATGAAGCGAAGTGAGGACGATTGATACGAAACGGAGGTGGTGGCTGTTTGATGATATTGTGTGTGTACGTGATCTGGCTACAGACGTGCAGTTGACTGTGGCGGGGTCGCTGCTGTTGTTGGCGCTCGTGGGGGTCATTGTGGCGTCTGCAGCGTATTCGACGCCATGGGGGCTTTTTGTCTGTACGTTGTGACGCCTTGTGTGCATCATCTGTGAATCTCTGACTGCGTTGTGTCTGTTAATAGTTTTTCCGTACGTATTGCTGCCGATGGCAGCGGCGATTTTCTCGACTTTATCGGGAGGGGATGACCTCAGGTGGGAAAACTTATCTTTCACTTTCTTATCCTCGCGTCTTCATTTTCCTGTTCGTTTGCATAGTGCCTGGACGAGCTTTGGCTGCTTCTTTGAGGCTCTTTTGTGGGTCACCGCCTTCGCCATCCCATCGATATTGTATCGAGTTGAGGCGGTAAGTTGCTTTACGCTGTCGTTGTCCATGTTACGAATTAAGTTGCTTTGAACTTCAAACAGATTAATGGGTCCCAACTCGGCTGGCTGATCACGTCTGACGTGTTGGTTTTTGCGTCCTTTATGATCTTGGCGCTGATCAAGGGAGATTAATGAAGTTGCATGTATGGTGTATTATTTTGTTAGTCTTGATATTCGTTCCTTTTGAAATAACACGATCAAATTCTAAAGCCTTGGATATCGAAATCCAGCGGTCTTCTTGGACTAGCTACACCAAGCAAGTAAAGCCATCATCTGAGTTTGACGCAAGATTTCAAATTAAGTAAATAGTAGTCCCGACCCACAGCTTGTGTTTTCGAATCAAGCACCGTATATCGGACATCATGTCCTGCCTACAACTTATTAGGTTTCTACTGCTTCGCTTGTTGACGTTGCATCCGCTGGACCACCCCTCAATTTGAGGCTCAAAGACTTCAGGGCGATTATAACGCACAAAAGGGCGAACGGGGCACTTTAGCTAGAGCGCTTGTTATGGTTAAAGGCACCATTTCGATTAGAAAAATAGGCCAATCAATTTTAGTTGCTTCGCCACGGAAACGACGTTCGTGGTCGCAGGATTGGCATCTAAGCATCATTGATTCCGATGTCCTCCATTGTTCTTGATCAATGCCATCTGCAAGCTCCAGATCGGGTGCGGCTTGAAGTCACCCAGCCATTTGACGCAACAAGTAATAACTGTTTATTTCTAACAGTAGCACGAACTAATTCCGATAAACATGTATGCAGTGGCAAGTTGCGACTCCCAAGTCCGTCTAATCAAGCTCATCACTCGAAAGTGGTCGTGAACACGACCCGAAAGTTTCCAACAAAAGATTCGTCGAGGAACGTGGAGTTTTTGTTTTCTTGTAAAGCTTCAAGGATGCGCTCTTCTTTTGATTGGTTGAACGACTTCAACTTCAGTGGCCAATCCAGGCGATTAGCAGCATACAGATCTTCTTCTGTGGTCTGTAGTCAGTAACAATTACAGCAGTCTTTATGCTCGTTCTACAATAGCTGTACAGCCTGCATTCCCACAATTTGGTGCTTTCGCGACCAAAGTAATAAAAACGACGTATCTCCCTACATCAGAGCAGCTCACTTGTATGTTTCTTATGGAAGTACATGAACAGTTCTGCGGAATCGCTGGCTAATACAGCACATGAAACAAGTAGAAAGACTACTGAGGTACATGTACGAGAAGTAAAGCCAAATCAAAATTTGCTAGAAGGCGACAGTAACGGAGCACATTCACTTTCCTATTTGCGAAACGGATACAGCAACTGGCCCTAAGTTGAGTCTTGCAGCGCCGAGTGCGAACTTCGCACTACGAAGTGCACTTTACGGGCTACATCAAGGTTATCTTGACAAGGTACCGGTACCTGTACTGTAACAGCAATAAATGAGCTTACATGTACATGTAAGTTGTACGGTAGCGAGACCTGGGTTGTGCTCGCTTCAACTCAAGACGAGCCAAAGCAGTCAAGGTAAACCCACCATTGTGTGCGAGTAGACAGGCCGACTGGTTATGGAGTGCTCGGCTCATTCCATGTACTGTACAGTATCAACATTGCATCTAGGTAGATCTTGTTCCAATTTGGCTAGCCGTACCCACCACTTCGCCGAAACAAACGATTAACTACTATTTGGAGGGTGCAATGGGCAATGGTGCCATTCAGAGTCTCTGGTATCTCTGAATCAGAGATACCAAACACTGTCAGTCGGCCGAGCGCGTGTTTTACTGCTATTAATACATGTACCACAGTACATGTAGATGAAACGCAGCTGTGTGGCATAGTAGGCCGCGGGCAATGCTTAAAGGATGCACCAATGAATTGGCTTGATTCGTGGCATCACGGACGGCCCTGAAGAAAAATCTACTTGAATTTCCTTTAAAATAGAGGCTCAGACAAAGGATGTTGCAACACGGAGTCAATGGTCATTCTATCTTGGACAAGATTGGCATTGATGGTGATACAGCTCTGCAGGCTGCAGTGCAGCTGAACGAGCATTTTTTAGCGGGATTGACAAGCAACTAGACCATGCTGCCATCATCACGATGGTTACGTGCAGCTCAGGGCTTCAGTACTTTCAAGTTTTCATAGATAATAACAAAAAATCTTGCTCGGATCGAAATGAAGAATAAAATATAATGTGTATTGTTGCGCGGCGGAGCACCAGAGCCACCGCAGAGGGAGGTCCATGTACTTCGGAGTGCCATTACATGTATTTTATAAAGAAAACGGCAGAAGCACTGATTGATCACGCACCAACGTTGCACAGTTGAGGCAGGGAATCTTCCAACCCGAGTTCGTTTGTCATAATTTTTTATTTGATCAACCCCGCGGCAGGAAACACCATCGTTTGACTCTGCTTTTGATGGTTTTTATACGGGGTATCGTGTGCGTCGCGGCGTTGTTTGGATGTCTGGTCGTAAGAAGATGAAGATCCGAGGTGGCCTTTCGCGTCGTCCTTTCACACACACTGACCTCGTCGGACTCACAGCTGCTTGCGGCGGAAGTGCCAGCCGGTCCCTTCATTCTTGAAAACACCTCGGAAGCAGCACCCAAGCCAGCTCCTCTCCCAAGATCCAGCTAGACTATGAGCACTTCGGACCTAAGCGTTAGCGGCCGCGTGGTCGACATCACCGTCGGCGCCGCCGGTAAGGTCGGCGAAGGCGTCAACTCCTATTACGTATACAAGGTCTCGTCGGCCGAGGACGTAGTGGTGGAGCGCCGCTACTCGGACTTCCTGTGGTTGCAGCACCAGTTGTCCAAGCAGTGCGCGGGCTACGTGATCCCGCCACTACCAGCCAAGGTCGTGGGTCTGCTACAAGGATCCGAGTTCCTTGAACACCGTCGCGCCGGCCTTGAGCGCTTCCTGCGCAAGGTCGTCCACCATGACGAGCTGAGGAACTCTAACTTCTTCCGCAGCTTCCTCGAATGCTCCATCGTGGAGCTCACGGCGCTCAAGGCCGAAGCCCAGCGTGCCAACTCGCTCAACGCCACGTCCATGGCCTCCGTTGTGCAGCGCACGCAGCAGCTCAACAACTGGTGGGGCAAGACGTACCAGCGCATGGTGGAGAACGACACACTCAGTCTCTTCGGTCCGCGCAACGCAGAGGACGGCGAGAACAGCGGCATCATCGAGGACCCCGAGTTCACTAAGGTCGCCAAGTATGTGGCCAAGCTGCATGCGCAGATCCAGTCGCTTAAGACTAAGGTACACACCGCCAGTCAGCAGAACAAGCTGGCAGCTGGCGCTCACTGTGACCTCATCGAATGCCTCAATTGGGTGGCTGACGCTGAGGAAGAGAACGCCGAGATGCCCACGTCCTACTACAGTGCACTGCTGGCCATACTGGACACGCGCGCGCGTCAGATGGATGCTGAACTGGAGGCCTTCTCCGCCAGTGTCGACGACATCGCTCGCTGGATTAAGGCTGTGCAGAAGGCGCTGGATGTCCGTGAGGACCGTCGCTATCTGTACCAGGCGCAACTCGCGGCGCACCGCAAGGCGGTGAACGGCGACGGCCCGGACTCGCCGTCAGCCACCCGTCTGAGCAATGACCTGGTCGCTGCCAAGGACGATTTCGAGCGTGTACACGCGCGTGTGATGCGCGAGGTGACGCGCTTCCGCGGTCAGAAGGCTGTGGAGCTCAAGAAGCTGTTCCTCGAGTTCGCCCAGCTGCAGCTACGCAACTCGAAGGAGCTCGAGAAGATCGTGACCCAGAGCACTGAGGAGCTGGAGACACCCCTGCCGGCTAAGCTTGTGTACGCTGCACAGACGCCTGCTTCCTGCTCAAACTTGTTCGAGTCGCGCGACTCGTTCGGACTGGATAAGAACGACGTGCTTGGCAAGACCAAGTCCACGGCGTCCACCCAGTCCCCAACTGGCAGCAGCAGTGTCGACATCGTGTCCAAGGCGGACCCAGCCGCCGCTCCGGAGAATTACTCGGATGTCCATATTTAAGTGAGACCCGAGTCTACTCAGAAGGACGCGCAGGCTGCTGTGGCGTGCTTCTCTGTATATTGTGCACATATTCGTGTCGTTTTTCAGCTAGCATTTTACATGTAGTTCCACCTCAGAGACTTCAGTGGCGAGGCTGGCGCATTGTAAAGACCGTCGTGAACTTCCTTGGCGCTCTATCGCTGTACATACCGGTAATTGAAATATCACTATCAATTTGATCTATTCAAACAGCTACGGTACAGGCTTCACCCAGTTGTTCACCGAATGCAGTGAAGACGTCTGTCCAAAGCCAATTGTGCTACCGTACTGAAGCGTGTTGGTCCACCGTCGATTTCGTTGCCGTATCGTCACGCACCGAATCGAATATCGATGAGTCAAACGCGAGTCGCGTTTGACTACGCGACGCGGCAGCACTTGCCCTGTCACCGCGCCGGAATCCTTGGATAGGACTGTCAACGCAGGGTCGGAATGTGTTGACAACGTAGCGCTCTCGACTGGCGTCAGCGGCATTTCAAACGCGAAAGTGATCATCATGCTGGTCAAGGTCAGTACATGTGTACTGTACGAGTATGTACTGGGATTTGACCGGTAAGGGTTATTTTTAATTAAAACCCTTAGATTTAGAACTGGATAAATGACTCGCTCCAATTAAATAAGAGTATTATTAAATAAAAAATTTGAAGTTAAATCTGAATTAATGTTAAATTTTTGATTATTTAAAAAACGCTCATAATTTATATTTAAAAAAAATTTTAATAAAAAAAGTGATTTTAAATCAGTTAAATCACCAATAATACCTTTAATTTTAGAGCTATCAGTAGCTATTAATTTTTTATTAATTATATTTAATGCTTCTAACCATGAAATTTTATGAAAATTATTTTCATCATCTTTTAATAATCTTTTATGGGTTATGTTTTGCCTTGGGGACAAATGAGCCACACTCAAGAGGTAAATTAATAAGAAGTGCAGGTACATCAGCGCAATTAGTTAAAAAAATTAATAATAAATATGCAAGAATTCGTTTAAATTCTGGCGAATTAAACTTAATTTTATTAACTTGTTTTGCTACATTAGGTGTTGTATCTAATATTAATCATAAAAAAATTAAATTAGGAAAAGCCGGACGTTCACGTTGGTTAAATAGAAGACCTTCTGTACGTGGTGTAGCAAAAAATCCTGTTGATCATCCACACGGGGGTGGTGAAGGTAAAACTAGTGGTGGACGTCCTTCTGTAACACCTCAAGGTAAGGTAACTAAAGGAAAACCTACGTAAGAAAAAAAATTATTTAATAAGGCGAAAATAACTTCAAAACGGACCCAAAACGGACTCCCAATTGTGCGAGAACCAGTTAAGATCAATCACCTACTTCAAACAGGAGCAGGCATACTTCTATGTTTCTCAAGAACAGCGAGACCACGGCCAAAGGAGAATAGCGCAGATTCCTGCCGACACTAGCCTACTAAAGGTAACCTCTAGTTTGTAAAGAATCCGAGCTAAGTTTACTTACAAATACATCAGTCTTACATCTATTCCTATAAGTAGCAAACCGTTCCTTTGAGACCGGGAACACGTGGACTAACGTTCACTCGGGTAGTTAATACCCTTAAGCACTCCTCTGTGCAAGGTGCTGTGTGACCCCGTCACAGAATGCGACCAACCGACAATGTCCGGGTCGTGGATGTGCCCAAGGCCGGTGCTATCTCGGCCTTCATATGCGCCCCAGAAGACCCATCCACTAGCTCACCGCAGGTAGCAGCACCCCATTTGTAGCGAGCTTAAAACAACCACTTACCAAGCGTATACTGTATCGATAGGAAACAGGCAAATAAACTCTAAGCTTGATAGCTAAGGCGTGATACCGGATTGCTGGGAGCCTCGTACCATCACGTTCCGGGCTGCATGGCGGTGTACGATACCCGCCTCGCCCTGTTGGTAGACCGGTATGACGGCGTGCCCGCTCGCCGCGCCTAGCCTCCTCAAGGGCTACTAGATATCTTCCAATCACGCCTCGTTCCACTTCAGTTATCGACTCCGACTCCACGATGCGACGCCAATCCCCATCGCCGGGTCGCGGAACGCCGCGCCTGTGACTGCGTGGGCATCCTTCTTCACGAGGTACGGGATAGTATTGGCGACTTTATTCACGCGTAAACTTGGACTGCGAGCGCACCGACAGACAGCTGAGCGTTGGCTTAGACAAGCTCCTGCAACATGCGTGCAAAGGAGTCTCCACCTTCCGTGCTCCACCAGCGTATGAATGCGGTCAACGACATGTCGAGAGGCCGGCTGGTCATGGTCCCTGTCATCGTGGCAGACTTGCCCCGGGTCGCGCGGAACCGCTCGAAGAGACGATTCATCTCAACGCCGCCACGCGCGATCTCGAAGGTGCTGCAGTCGTGCAGCGCCCACCTCTCCAGCGACTCCTCACGATTCGTTGTCCTACGTACTTACCGCTAATGTGTTCGCTGTCTGAAGTGTTGGGGGGGGGCCTACTTCCACACATCGTTGCCGCTGTGTCCACCGCAGGATGGCAGCGCCTCGGCGAGGAGCGACGCGGCCATTTACGTGAGGCTGTGGGGTCCGTGCGGGGACCTCGTTGTCCAGGATTTGATCGACGATATGCCGAAGATTACCTACGCTATCCACAAGACGCGGGGCCGTAGCGATGATATAGATATTCGCGATCGTTAGGAGTACGCTGCGACCGCGCAGTGCCTGCATGGGTTCCTTCATCGTGTGGAGTATCTGGAACGGGAGATCCAAATAATGTGTCACCGCGGGCGTCAAGAAGATGAGGCGCGGGACGGCTCGCGTCACCGGAAATAGTCGCGGGGTGGTACCGTCGTGTCGGTCGATGTAGACTTTATTATATCTTCCCGCGAATAGCGGAAAAGTTCCGGCGAATCCCCCCCCCCACGGTGACATGATCGCTCAAAGCTGACCATGGATACAAACTCATAATAAAAAAGAAAATACCTAGATATAATTTTGACCCCCATTAAGTCCGATATATCTGGCAGCATTTTGTAATTCATCCAACGACCAAGACCGACATCGTCGAGCTCGATGTTTCGCTTTACAGCGATGGTCGCCTCCACCTGAACCGTTGGCTTTGCGAGGTGGACATCGCTACTGAATCTCGGCGGCTATTTACCAAGGTCGCGCATACGCGTTTCCTGCTTTCAAAGCTGATAGGCAAGCACAAAAATCGGGAGCTTCTCACCATGCGCTATGCGCTCATCAATTTCGACTTGTATCTTCTGGGTGAATATACCTTAGCTGCTTACACTGACCATGCATCGTTACGGACCGAGACGAAGAGCCCTCATCTGTCCCAGCGCATGGACAGCTGGCTGTCATTATTCTCCGAGTGCAACTTTGCCGTGCACTACAAGACGAACACGACTAACATCCTCGCCGACGTGCCCTCGCGATGTCCGGACTACGATCTCTACTCCCAATGGGGTCACCACGCTGTTGGCGACGACGAGCGACGATGCTGAATGTGCGGTCTGTCTTGGGATAGGAGTCGTCGCAGTGGAGATCACAGCGACCAGCCCGCTTCGAGATGCGATAGCCGACGCATACTTGCACGACTCGTCGTTCTCTGAAATGATCAAGTACTTGAGGGCACCGTCAGATTCAGCGCGGCGCCGATTAACCCCGCAAAGTCGTTCTCGTTTTGACCGCTGCGACCTGGATGGTGATTTGCTGACACGGCGTCGACCGTGCCGACGCTCCGCGCGTCGTCGTCCCGCCAGGCGATGAACTTCAAGCTTGCATCATGCATGAGCTCCCCGACAGTCCAAGCGCGGGACACCTTGGTCGCGAGGAGACCGTCGCTACAATCTCTCGGGACTTTAACGGACCCCACACGTACAAGTGTGCGTAAATGGGTACGCTCCTGTGAAGCTTGCCAGCGATTCAGACAGCCTGCGTCAATGCAAGCTCCACTTTGACCGCTACCCATCGCACGCAGCGCATGGGACTCCGTGAACATAGGCTTCGTCTTCAAACTTCCTCGCAACTTACAAGGTCGCACTGGCATGCTCGCCATCGTCGATAGGTACAGTAAGGTGGTCGATCTTGTCCCAGTTGCGGCGACTGTCACAGCGACTCACTCCGCGGCGATCTTCATCGGCCTCGTGTACCGCCTCCTTGGCTTACCGGCGTGGATCATCTCCGATCACGATCCTCGCTTTACCTCCACATCCTGGTCCGAAGTCTTCAAGCTTGTCGAAACGCGGGCAAAGATGCCCACCGCGTCTAAACATGCGTGATAATATTAACACCAACCCAGCTAGTTTTCGTTTTATTTACGAGCGTCTGATTGAGTTTTCGTCGAGGATGCACCCCTCGTAGTCTAGAATCACTTCGACAAAAGGAATGCTTATGGCGCTCACCAGTGCTAGCCAGTAGCATTTTTACGGGGGGGGGCTGACATCTACAAATTATTATTACTGATAAACGTTTGGTTTGAGCTTTAAGTTTTGCTAAATATCTAATTTAAAAATAAAAACAACTGACATTTATTTTAACTATGTAAGTCACATTGCAACCTGTGGATGTTAAATAACGGGTTACATTTAGTTGTGGCTTCCGGATTAATTGACATTTAGCAGCACTTATGATACAGATAATGACATTTATAAAATCTGGTGTCCATGATACCTATTCCACGTATAACTTTGATTTGACATCCAACATCATAAGAATTTATGGATGTTAAGGATGTTTCGAAGTATAATTAATAAATATAGGTTAAAGTGTTTATGTATCACTAGTGTAATTTATGGATAGATTTTAGAGCGATCAAGGAACGCTATCACTTCACGGGTTTTGCTTGGCGTAACCGTGAATCCGGATGTCGTTTGTAGATACAAATCGCGGTAGTTTCAGATGATTACTGTAATTCATGGATATTGCTTGGCGCTACCATGGATCCTAGCCATTAAACATGGATCGCGCTTCGCTACTTCACGGATCTACACTGGC